AGGATGGCAGTTGGTATCTTAAAGGGGAAGAGTTGTTACAAAGTCTTGAAATTACAAAACACATCCTCAAGGGTTCCAGCTCCAAAATATACATTATTAATTTAGGAGCACTAACATACTAATTAATTAATGTGACTTAATTCAAAGAATTTGAGTACCTTCTGTGTGCTAGGTATTGAGGTATTTAAATTATCTATATCTGTTGCATTCCACTTAGCAATATTACTATAGTTATACATCAGTTGCAGTAGGGAACATCTTAAAAAAAAAACTCCTTTTACTTCTGCCAAAATATACCTCCCTGCCCTTCCCCTAACCCTTAAACTAACTCTTTCTTGTGCAGTTTCATAGCCCTGCTTTTAGTGGAAGCAGGGAGATCGAGTTAGGGAGAAAGGTTGGTTAAGTTGTAGGATTCAAAGACCATCTATTAATAAAATACAGAGCTGCTTTCTGTGCCTCTGAAAACTGCTCTTTCACGTGTGAGAAGGGATCAATTGTTGGTCAAGGCTGTGTTGCCATGTAGGTGGGTACAGGCTTAGGGCAGGGGACCAGGGCTTGGCGCTCTTAAGGAGCCCGTCCCCGGAAAACAAGAACAGCCAGAGGCAGCAGGGCTGGGAACTTCCCTCCTTTGCCCAGGTATAGGATGCCGATAGGGTAATTTTTTCACAGCTGTGTGGCACGGAAGGCTTCAGACATTCTCTAGAATATTTTCTCAATTTCAACCCTAACATTTCGGACCAGATAACTCTTTGTCTTAGGGGCTATCCTGTGCATTATGAGATATTTAGCAATGTTCCTGGCCCTTTAGACACCAGGTGCAAGTAGCATTTCCCTACCCCTGTCATTATAATAAAAAATGTCTCTAGACATTACCAAATGTCTCCCAAGGGGCAAACTTGCCCCCAGTTGAGAACCACGGCTCTAGACTATGCCACCCAGACATCGGGGGTCTTTTCTCCTCTATGCAAGCAGTTGGATGACTGATCTAGGTAAAACTCCAATGATCACTTTTATTAGTATTTTTGTATTTTCTTCCCATAAACGTCTTCTCCTTGCTGGTATATTGATAAAGTTTAACACATACATATTTGTAGTCTCCTTTCTTAGAAATTTTTTATTGTTATACTCAGGCTGAGAGTAACCCTGAATTTTATATATAGCTGTGGCTAATCATTTTAAATAAACTATGTGGACGTTTTTCTTAACTTAATTCTTAATGCCTTTTGATGTACTCTGAACCATGGTCAGTGTCTAGTATTTTAGAGTGAATTAACCGTATCAATTATCCAATGCTTATAGATTAGATTTTGTTTTCATGCAAAATCTTTAAATAAATAGAACAGTTGTTTTGCCTAGATGTTAAAATTACAAGCGAGTTTTATATTTTTTCTGCTTGTACTTTTAAATTTTTTTAATGGAATTTATTTCTCAAATCATTTTTTTTCTGGTTATATTTTAGAAACGACTACATAGGGGCACTGCATGGGGGAAAATAGGGACGCTTTCTCGATCTTTGAAGCTTATGTAGGCTAATGCTAAATGCCTAGCCCAGTGCCAGACAATCCTAGTTTATGTACAATAAATTTAGGTGGAACCACTTTCCGTTTTTTGTTATTTTCATGTTTTTACAGGCATTGAAACATCCATATTTTCAAGTTGGTCAGGTATTAGGCCCTTCCTCAAATCATCTGGAATCAAAACAGCCTTTACACAAGCAGCTGCAACCAGTAGCACCGAAGCCATCTTTAGTTGAACTAGAACCTAAGCATCTGCCAGATATAATTGATCAGACTGTCGGACAGGCTCAGCCAAAAACCAGCCACCAGCCACTGCAGCCCATTCAGCCACCACAGAACGTGAGTGTCCAGCAACCTCCAAAGCAACAGAGTCAGCAGAAACTGCCACAAACACTATTTCCAAGTATCATCAAAAACATGCCAAATGTAAGTGGCTGATAATGACACTTGACTCGCACAATTAGGATTCTGTTTCAAAGCATTTCTGATTATGTTGGGGAAGATATAAAAAATTATTCTATGTTAAAGCCCCCCTGCTTCCTCTGGTAGGAGTTTGGAATGAGATAACTTAAAAATTCTAATATGGTTTATACAGAGAAAAACTTTCAGGATGAAAGTAATAACGTTTGCATGCTACAGACTTCCTTTAACAGTTCATTTGATGCAGGAGAATTCAAAGAAAGAATGAAAAAGAATCAGGTACTCCAGAGTACTGCTCCTAAATCATAAGTAGTTTAACAGTACTGCAATTTTACAGTTTTTAAATGCTAATAAACATGAACAGAATAAGGTTTTTTTTTTTTTTTGAATTGTCAGGCATAGTATAAAACTTCTTCTTCCCACTTCTTCTTCTTCTTTTGTTCTGTTCTAGGAGCTCATCAAGTGCCATATTATTTTAGCTGTCCCCTCGGGGTGTTTACATTATGTTTACTTTATTATTACAAATGTGTTTACATTATGGCGTTTTAGGACTGAAAGAGATCTCTTAACACTGTATCTAATTCCTTATCCAGTCCGCAGCCACCCCCACCATCCTAGTATAAGTGAGGCCCCCTTACCCCCCAATAGCAGTAATCACAGTCTAATAATACTATTAATTGTTTTTCATGTTATTGTTTATTATCTGGCCCTTCCTACTAGGATGAAAGCTCCATGAGGTCAGGAATGTCTTTGTTTATCAGTATAGCCCCACAACCTAGAATGGTGCCTACCACATGGTAGATTTTCAGTAGATGTTTGTTGAACGAATGAATGAATGAATAATTGTCCACACTATTTTTAAACCTCCAGGGTCCTGGGGAGTCTACTTCATCTTTGGGATGGTTCTGAACATTCTTCCTTATGCTGATCTAAAATCTGGTTTTCTATAGCTTTTGATAAAATCTAATCACTCTTCTAGAAAAGGCAGCCTTTTAGATATTTGAAGATAGCCCTTGTATTATCTGCCCTTTTCCTAGGAGAAACATCCCCACTTCCCTTACATGCTCTGCATTACAACATCATTCACCAACAACTGAGTGACCTAAGTTCCTGTGTGTGAAGGAGCCTTCAAATCCCGTCACCTGCCTGTTTCCCACCTGGAATGAGGCTACCAGAGGTGGAGGGAGACAGAGGGTAGGGAGGACAGAGCAGGGTGAATCACCTCCAACATTCTAAAACTGTATGTTCGCTCCTGCCGCCAAGGTTTGCATTCTCCCTTTTTTTTTTTTTTCTTGGAAGGAAGACACATCAAATGTTGACTCATACTGAGAGGGAAGGAAGGGAAGTTAATATGTATTGAGTAGCCGCTAAGTTCTGTGCGCTGTGCTAGGCTGCCGTGTGTACTCTCTAAGTACCTAGTAACCTAGCCCTAAAATTTGACATAGTTAATAAGTTCCAGAGCTGGGACTGAGCATTCAGTCAACTAAAACTTCTAAGTCTACCTGTTTTATAAATGCTTCTGCTAAATCATGTGTCCTGTACCTCTACTTATATGTTTGATCTCTAGGATTTAAAGAGTTGCAAGACTTCACTTTTATGTCTCAAATTTCTAGTTATTTTGAACCCTTATTTTTTCTTCTCAGTTTGACCATTCCAGCTTGTTGCCACTGTGGATTCGTTTAGTTGTTTGTTTTTCTCCTGTGTCTTCATGATGAACAGAACAGCAGGGAGCCTTTGGATAGGCCAGTAGAACCTTCTTCTGGATTGGCAGTGATCCGTTAGTCAGTAGTCTTGGTCAGATTATGGAACTACGTACTGATCACCTTTGCTGTCCTTTCACCACTTTATTTCAGTGGTAAGGATGCCTTGAAGAGTCCTGTCTCCCACTTGGCTGAAGTGCACATGCACTACATCCAACAAATTCATTTTTTGCTCTTTACGAAAAATGATGGGCCTCTAAGAGTCACCATTTTTTCCCTTAGTGTGTACAAATGTTCTCTTTAATAATTGATTTTAGAATTTTTGCCCTCATCCTATACCAAATTTAATGTAGAGTTTGCAAAAATCCTCCTTCTACTTTATGAAAATGATTTATATTTGCCCCTTTACAGTCTTCCCAGACATACATGGATCTTTGCTGTCACTGACATTGTTCAGCAGCGTTCAGCATCAGTGCCCTAAAATACCGTGCCGTGAAAAGGAGGCTTGAACTCAGTGAAGTGTGTTGTTTTATTAACTCTACTCATCCGGAGCTTCAGATCTTTGTATTCCCCTGAGTCTGGAGATCATTGTCCCTGGCAAAGAAAATAATAGTACAGAAGTTGTCAGGGACCACTTATTGTCATCATCCATCATTATGGCAGCACCAGCTTCAGACAATAGCATATCCATTTTTAAAGCGTCTTCTTGCTGCCAACAAAGCTGTATTTGGCTGCCCTTCCTTCCAAGCTCTATTTGCTGATTTTGAATTGCCTTTTGGGTTTTCCTGTTTATATGCCCCCAAACCACTCTCTATAAATTTGTATAAAACCAATTCATTGTCTGTCCCAAGTCAGGATGTCCACATTCCTTATTTCTGTTCATGGTGCCACCATTCTGAGACAATCAGACTCAGACTCAGACTTCCCTCCCTGCATCCATTAGCATTACATTCAGTGACATGACAAACCCCAACCACTGTGGCTTAAACAATAGGGATTGTTTTTCCTCACTTAACAAGAAGTTGGGTGGCAGGCAACCCGGAGCTTGTGCAGCTTCCAAAGGAACCAGGCTGCTGCCGCCTTCCTGTTCCATCGCCCTCAGCAAGTGGCTTTCATGCCTGTGGCCGTGAGATCGCTGTTGCTCCTTTGGGTGTCACATCTGCATTCTAGGAGAGGGAAGAGTAAAAGATACTGGCACATGACAGCCTCAGTGTCCTCTCCTTAAGGCTGTCTTCACTTGGGAAGGGCACTAAGGCTTTGAGAACTTAAGTCACTTGCCCAAAGAGACACAGCCAAGTCTCAGTTTTCTGGATCCTTCACATCAATGAAGGGTCAACTCAGATCCTAAATATTCAAGTCTCCCCCCAACCCAAATTCACAGGGACCTCTCCTCTGAATACCTATTATATTTTTGACATTTACTACCTATTTTTGTTAATGCTTTTAAATGTGTGTATGTGTTATCTCCTTTAGTATATGGAAGGCTCCTTGAGAGTGGGGGTTCTAGTATCTAACACAATAGCTCGTGCATGAAAGGCATTCAGCATGTGAGTAAAGATTATGACGACTGATTTTTCCACCACAGAAGCCAAACGGAGCACTGGGTTATAAAAATGCGAGGAGGCGCTGGGGCCAGGCTGTCTTCAAGTCTGGGGACAGCTGGGAGGAGTGTGAGGATGGTGATTTTGGAGCCTTCCATTCCAAGAAGCCAAGCATGGGTGTTTTCAAAGAAAAGAGGAAAAAAGATACTCCATTTTGGTAAGTTTTCAAATTTCTCAGGAAAAAAATATTTTTATCATGTATCAACTTTATTTTACTCATTAAATATAAATGAATGTAGACCTTACAAGAAAAAAACTTGGCTTAATTAATATACAAAAATTAATATACAAAACCCAAATCCTTATGCATACGTCTGAAAAGTTAAGACTCTTAACTTCTCACAGGAATGATTCTCAGTATTAGTGGATGAGTGGTGTGTGGGTGTGTGTGTGTGTGTGGGGCTGTGTGCGTGTGCAGGAAGGGGTTCTTGCCTATTTGCAGAAAGAGAGCACCACGTACAAAGTTAGTGGTTTCTTCTGATGGCGTTAAGATTTAATTATTAGCTTGCTTGCTATACTAAACTTTTTTGATCATTTTCGAACTTTTTCTGGAAGTTTAATATTTCTAGAAGTTCCTTTTCTTTTTATAAGTTAGATCCTTATTAGTGCATTATTCAACGTTGAAGTTAGGATAGGTTAAATTTTGGTGAACATTTTGGAAAGATACTTTCAGTTTTTTCCTCTTTGGAACAGAAGAGGCATTGGGAGAACAGTTGTGTTGCGAGTCAGGGAAATTGTCTGGTAGCTGTTTGGCATGGTACCGTGCAGACTTTGGGGCACACATACCCTTGAAAATGCATGAAGAATCTTTAGGGGGTACATATGCTTGGATAATTCTTCGACAGTCAATTTCCAGATCCTCACGTTTCATACATACTCTTTCCTGAAATACATGAACTTGAGGAAAAGCCCACTTAATTCCTCTCCCACTTTGGGCAAGAAAGTCACATCTTTCAGCTATTTCAAATCTTACATGGCACCAGAGGCACTAAACAAAGGGAGAAATCAGAAGACTGGCGCCTTTAACTGAAAAGGCTTTCTGCTGTTCCTTATGCATTTTCTCTTAAGGGGAAACCCTGCATTAGAAATAGGGCACAGTAGTCTGCCCTTACTGCGGTGTCACTTTCCATGGTTTCAGTTACCTGTGGGTCAGTTCAACTA